CAAGGCCACGCTGGCCGTGGCTTGTATCAACCTGGTCTAGTGGAACGTGTCCCTGCCCATGGCAGGGGATTGGAATTAGATGATCTTTAAGTTCCCTTCCAACCCAAACCATTCTATGGTTCTATGAAATTATTTCACCAGGCACTTAAGTATGAAGGACCAGCTACATACAGAAATTTCTTCTTGGGCTGGACTGGCTAGCTGAAAATTTGCTTCAGTATTCCCCTTTGAAACACGTGGTTGTTACTCCCCGACAGCACGTTCTGTGCTGTTGCTGTCTGAGAGGAGCCAGCATGTTTATCCCCAGCTCCCAGTGACTGCTCTCCATGAGCATGCCACTGTGGCAGCCCCAACCAGGGTAAGGGACAGTAATGCAGTTTCATATCACAGGGACGCTGGCTGGTTCAGACATCCTAACAACAGTGGTGGCAGGAGATCATCATCACCAGCGCACTAAAACTTTCAGGACCAGGAGCTCCTGACCTAACTAATTCAAGAAGCTCCTTGTTGCAAGTCATTCATCCAGTAGTCTCAGATGTCTCAAGACCATCTCTTTAAAGCCTATCTATCCTTTTCTAGACTTTTCCCTGACTAAAAGCATTTTTACTGCCCATGTCCTTCATCTGGCCCTGGATTCTCCAGGAAGGAGCTGAATTATTCCAACTCTTTCTCCTCCTCTTAAAGGGGGCTCAGCCTATTTGACAAAATCAAGAGTAATGAAAACAGCACCAACATATGTTCTTCCCCTTTCTCTGCAGATCAGTATATGGGGCAGCTCTGTTTCAAACTGAGTACCTGAGAAGTGAATAGAAATATTTGAAAAACACATAACACACCCCCTTCACTTGGCTGGAGGCTCTCTGCGGCTACATATGGGAAAGCTTCATTCATATGTGCAAGCAGGGACAAAGCAGACAAGCAACACAGGGGATCTGGCGACCTTGTCCAGATTCATTAAAATGCATTAGCATGCCCAGGCTAACCTGTTTCAGAATACCTGAGAAACCAAGGCAGCCCCTTCTATGTGGGGAATATCAGATTATGGGTTCTCTCCATTATTTCAGGGGTGCTTTTAGAAGTGTGAGCGCCATGACCCCAGCACTATGATCCTCCTAAAACCAACAAACTGTCTTTCTGGGAAAGACCCAAGTTACAAACGAGTAGCGCTGCTAGCTCGTCATGGCAGTATAACAACAATAAATAATAACTGTTTACCCTGCTCCATCCAAGGAAGCCGTACAGCTGTTGTTACAAACAT